CAGATGCTTTTAAGAAATTAGATGATGAAATTAAAAAGTCCGTCATTATCAATTATGACCCTACACAAACCATCACAACAAAGTTTCAGAAGTTTTTACGTAAGTTAAGGAAAGAAAACAAATTTGATAAAAAAACTTATTTTCAACTATACCCTTCTGATTGCATTCCTCCACGACTATATGGCGTCATAAAAGCTCATAAATCAGATAAAAACTATCCAATGAGACCAGCGGTTTCCACTATCGGTACTCCGCCTTATGGTTCTTCAGAATATCTGGTTAAAATAATACAACCAACTTTAAATAAAAATAAAACAAGTTTACTGAACTCGTCTTCATTTGTCAACGAAGCAAAATCCTGGGTAATTTCTCCTAATGAAATTCAAGTCTCGTTTGATGTGATAGCATTGTACCCCTCGATTCCAATTGACAGAGCAATACCTGTAATTATTGATATACTCAACAATGATAAAGAAGATCTTGCGAACAGAACTAAATAAACTTTTACTGATATTCACCAACTAATTGAACTCTGTCTAAGCCAATGCTACTTTTTATATAAAAACGTGATTAGAACTATACCGAATTCTGGCCCTATTGGACTATAACTAATAGTCGTTGTTGCAGAGGCATTTTTGCAACATTTAGAAACAAAAACTTTGAGAGTTGCAGAAATAAATTTATTTTCACCAAAGTCATTCAAACGCTATGTAGACGACAGCCATGCGAGATTTGATTCATTAGAAAAACACGACAAATTTTTGGAAGTGTTAAATCAACAAGATCCTGCAATTCAATACACATCGGAAATAGAAAACGAAAGGAAAGAACTAAACTTTTTAGATATAACAATAATAAATACAAACAATTTCCACTATGATTTCAAAATCCATCGAAAACCCTCAATTACGAATATACAAATAAAACCGAATTCTAACATTAATCCTGCAATAACATCTGGAGTCTTCAAAGGTTTTATATCAAAAGCCTCAAAAATTTGTTCTCCAAAATACCTTCAAGATGAAATACAATTTATAATAAATATGTTTGTCGAAAATGGCCATAAAAAATCTGAATTAGAGCTTATAACAAAAAATTATCTCAAAATCAAAAATAATCCTGTTGATGTAGTTGCAGATCAAACAAAAAATGGTAACATAACAATAAAACTCCCATGGATTCCAAGAATAGGATCAAAATTAAGGAAAGACCTCAAGAGATATGGCGCTAAAGTTATATTTACAACACCACCAACTTTAAAAAGAATTTTGTGTAATAACAAATCCAAACTATTGCCAAATAGCAAGCCGGGTGTGTATAAGCTTACGTGTTCATGCGGTGGCGTTTATATTGGAGAAACAAAAAAGAAAATTATACAAAGAAGTATTGAGCATCAGATAAACAGTATGAAAGGTAATTGGCATGCTTCCGGAGCCACAGAACACTGCAAGAACTGCCACGGTATATTTAATTGGATGCACCCAAAAACGATCGCATTCAAGTCTAACTACCATGAAAGGAAAATAAGAGAGTCACTTGAAATTAATTATGCCCAAACAAATTACGAAATAAGACACTTCCCACCGCTTTTGAACAAAGACAACGGTGTTAAAATTGCGTCAAATAGCTGGCGACCTCTTTTTAAAAAAATCATAGAAATTTCAAAATAGTTGTTTACGTTACGTCAGCTCATCTTTGTAATGTCTTCTATAACGGTTTTTTACAACTTTTTTTTTACAAACGTTTTTTTTTTTTTTTTTTTTTTTTTTTTTGTGAGATTTTTATTGTATTTAATTTTACGTCTGATGACGGTCTGAACTATTTAGACTGAAATATTACATAAATAAATTAAAATATTAGCACTTAGCTGTATTGTATGCAGTGGCGGATTATCAAATTATAGGCCTATAGGCTTAACGAGTTCATGGGCCCTATATACCTATATTTTTCTAAAAAATACGTCAAAAAGTACAATTTTAATTTTATTTATAATAATAATATCTATAATAAAATCTAATTTTATTTCAAAATTACAAACAAATTATCAGGTATATTAGATACTGGGATAACAGATGCTGCTTTCCAGCAGGCTGAAAAACAAAACTCTGATAAGCACTTGTTGAATAGTTTTGAAAGGATAGATGACAGCTCCGGAGAAAACTTCTGCAAGACTATAACAGGTACGTTGTCCAGGCCACAAGCTGTAGAGAAGTCTAAGCAGGAAATCACTTTAGATACAGAAGCTGGAGTGATACCAATGTCAAGCAATGGATCAACCTGTTTGACGGCTATATCAGGTAGAACGCAACTAGTGGAATCAAGAGATGATATTGAGGAAAAGTTCTTAGCAAACAATTCAGCTTTGTCTTTAGGTGAGGTGAACCATACAAAAGAGGTGAAATTACAAACATACTCTTTTGTATGGTTCAAAGTCTGAACCATACAAAAGAGGTAGAATTACAGACTTACCCTTATTATTGATAATATTAAAGATTCTCCA